TATATAATTTAAATAAGCTAGGGGTTCGATCCCCTTTATAGGTTAAAATAATTAATTTATTTATTAGTTAAAGCACGTGATTTACTATTAAATTAAATAAATAAATAATAATAAATATTATATAACTGTTATGGCAGTGAATGGAACTTTTATAAATGCTTGCTTGATTAATTATCTCCGCCTAGCAGCGGGAATAAGCTAAAGCTATTTAGCTTAAAAAAATAACTAATACATAATTAAGCACCCATGGAGTTAAAAAAGCTCCATGGTGTGTAATATATACCAGCCATAAAAAAAAATATTTTAAATTTAAAAAAAAATGTTGTGGCTCGAAGAAAAAAAAAATAAATATTAAAAAAAATTAAAAACTTTTTTATTATAATAATAAAAGGTAATAGCAGGAAAAGTAAAAGTAGCAGGAAAAGTAAAAGCCTTTTTATTAAAATAGTAAAGCAAGAGGTAATAATATAAAAAAGTATAGGTAGCAAGCAACTAAAATAAATCAGGAATTTTTGTTATTTTTCCAGAGCTAGTACACCGTGCTTGCTTGTACTATACTCTTTTTTTTTAATTTTTTTTAGGGCGGCTAGGCGTTTATAAGCTAGCTTATTTTTTTTAGGGAACTAAAGCGGGGAGCTTTAGCTTCTTAATTTCTAATTTCTTTCTTAGTTATTTAATTTTAGCAGACTTTAGTAAAAGCAGGGTAATTACTGCCTTTATTATAGCTAGCTAAAATTTTAATTCCTTTATTTCTACGCTTTTTAGTAAAAAAGGAGGCTTTGGGGATATATGGCGTTTAAGTTTTTTACCTTTATTATTAGGCTTAAAAATTGCCAGCGTTATAAGTGCAGTTAAAAAATTTGTTATTATAGGTGTAGTTAAAAAATCTATATTAATAAAGGGTTTCGTGGTAGTAGTTAGGGACTTTAAGATTAGATTATTAGGTTTAAAAGTTACTATTTTTCCAGAGGGTTTCGCGGTAGCAGTTAAAAAATTTAAGGTTAAATTATTAGGCTTAGTATTCTTAATAATTAAGGAATCTATATTAACAAAGGGTTTCGCGGTAGTAGTTAAGAAAATTAAATTATTAGGCTTAGTATTTTTAATTAAGAATTTTAAGCTAGAGGTAGCTATATTACAGTGTTTTTTTTTAAAAAGGCTTATTAGCCTTTAGCTTAGTAATTTAGTTTTTAATACCTTAAATAACCTATAATAGTTTATTAAGTTCCGTGATTATTTTTAGGGCTGCTTTAAGCTTTTTATTTTAAATATTATACTTAATTTTACCATGCTTTAGCTTTAACTAGCTATTTATTAACTAGTTATAAATATTTTTATTTTAATTTTTTTAATTTATTTTTTTAGCCCAGGCTTTATACTTTATAAAAAACTTTGCTATATATTAGTGCTTTTTTAATAACTTAAGGTAAAGTTTTTAAATTTTTTTAAATAATTTTTACTTTTAGCCTTGTATTTTTGCGTGGTAAAATAAGAAATTAAATTAAAAAATTTTAACCTTTTTAATTAATTCTTGCTTATAAGCTTTTACTTTTAGTAGTAACTTTTATAAATAACCTAATTTTATTTAGTAGCTATTAAGCCACCTTATACTAGGGTAATTTAGGTTAATATTATTATTAAGTATTAACCTTTAAATAATTTAATTAACTTTTATTTTAAGCCTATAAGTCACGGGCGTGTTCCCCGTGGCTAGAAATTTATTTTTTTTTTAAAATTAAGGCTAAGTTTAAAAACTAGTATTTTAATTATTATTATAAGTTTTTTACCTAGCTACTATTTTAGCACTACTAAATAATTATTAGGTAAAAGTATATTAGTTTAGTTAATACTAACTTTAATATTTTTAAAAAAAAATAAAATAATTTTATATTATACTTTTTTATTATTTTATAATATTTTTTTATTATTTTTGCGTCCATTTTCCCTATTTTT